GATCTAGTACTTGAACAAACTATTAATGCCGACGCGGGAAAAAGATTAACTGGTGTAATCCAGTTCACTCATTCTATTTCCGCTCGTCAGCGATGGGCTAGAAGTCACGACATAAGAACAACTGTCATATCTCACACTCTGGACATTACTGGTTTACGAAGAAAAAATGATGTATCAGCAGACCTGGAAGAACATGCTATAAAAAGAGATTCAGCACAGTTGTGGAAGTTCATAAATACTTTTGAGAAATTTCTAAATCCATTTATATTGAATCTAAACAAAGATTGTCTGTATAACATCGGTAATGGTACAGTTGCTTCGATCGCAGTACAGGATTACTTATTGAATTTTATAGAATCAGGAGAAAGATTGAAAGAGAATTTTATAACTGAATGTTCACAGAATGGAAAAAGATTTGAAGAAAGAATTGCACAAGTGAAAATTATGAATTTTGCCTTTGAAAAAAAAAAGAAAAAAATCAAAGTCGGTGATAAGGTTCATGAAATCCGTGTGCAACGTGATTTCTTTGGTCGCCTGTTAGCTCTGTCAATACAACATAACATCGATTTGGAGAAGACGTTATCATACCCCATTACAACTGTTCCATTGTCATTGTGTCATGAAGATGGTACAATACATAAAACTCAGAAATCAGCAATGGTTGAAATTTTAAAGGCAAACGTCAACAGTGAAGAGGTACCAAGACGTTTTGATGTTGTCATTTTTGATGGATTTTTTTTACTGCATACATTCAAAAACATCCCTAAAACATTTGGTGGTATTTCCAAAAAAATTATGTCGCTACTAACAGCTACACATGCCTCACGAGTAGATATCATTTTCGACCAATACTTTTCGCCGTCAATTAAAGATTATGAACGAGCCAAACGACAAGAAGTACGAAACATAAATTATTTCATTACCGGACCAGAACAAATTCGACCAGTCGATTTTATGAAAGAACTTCGTAACATAAAATTTAAAGAAGCTTTCGTAGATTTTTTAATTTCACATTGGAGCACAAATGAAATGATAGAGTTTATCGGGAATACCATAGTAAACTTAAATTACAAACAATGCCATACTTATAGTGTCCAAAATAACTCTGTGATTGTCGATATAAATGATGATTTATCGTGCCAACATCATGAAGAGGCTGATACAAAAATAATATACCATACATGCCAAATGGATGAAGATGTATCCGACGTATTAATAAAAACATGTGACACAGACATTTTAATATTACTGCTCGGAAACATGGACCATCTCCACAATAATAATTTAAAAATCTATATGGAATATGGCACTAATCATTGTAAAAAATGGATAAATATTTCTGAACTATATACAAAATTGGGACCTTCTATATGCCAAAGCTTACCGGCATTTCATGCATTAACCGGTTGCGATTTCAATCCGTCCTTTTCAAGAAGAGGTAAAAAAAACCATTCCAAATATTGCAGAAATCGAGTGTATATCAGAAGGCATTCAAAGAATTAGGAAACGCAGAAATAGTACAGAAGAAAGAAAAAATTTTCCCGATACTAGAGAAATTTGTATGCCAAATGTATGGTTTGAAATGTTCAAAGTTAAATAATGCACGTTATGAAAAGTTCCTTGCTACGTACAACACAAATAATCCTAAAGTGTTTATGAAAAAAGTAGTAAGCTATGATTCATCGAATTTACCACCCTGCAAACGTGAACTACATCAACAATTATTGAGAACTGCCTACATTACAAATATATGGCGAAATTGTAATTTAAAAGAACCAACAATTCTTACACCTGAAAATAACGGTTGGAACTTAATTGATAGTCGTTACGAATTTAATTGGTTTGAGGGGAATACGGTTCCATCTTCTATATACGACATACTTTTACAAGGACCTGCTGATACTGCCACAGCACAATCGACTGAAACTGAGGAATGCATTTCAGGTAACATACAACTATTTTATTCCGTAACATTTAATACGCAGTCCTATGTAATTGAGCTTGATATTTAATTCTTAACAACCTTATTGATTCATTAAAATATTTTTTTTTACTATTTTCAGATGAGGAAAACATTGTTGAAGAATCAGATGATGATGAAAACAGTGATAGCGAAATTTCGGATGATGCTGAAGAAAATGAATGTTAAAAATAATGTAGATTGCATAAAACCCAATAAAATACATTGCATTTACTGTATGCGTTCATGTAACATTTCTTATTTGCACGCCGCTGCAGCAGCTGTCCCCTCGCCTGTCAAGGTCTTATGCTGTTCAAAACCGCCTGGCATTGTACATATTTACTCTGAGACGTTTACTTGAAAACATATAAAAATTTTAAGTATACAGGATAAAGTTTATTTTAACTCATCAACTGTACGTTTTCTAATTGATCTGTCATATACTTCTGCTTATTGTAATCGCCTGTCAATTTTTTTTTAAGATGTACAATAAATAAACTTTATCCTATAAAATTTTCAAATTTACAGAAACAAGTTTTGAAACTCAATTTACTTAACAGTCCAAAAAAAAGGGGCTGATGACGTGCAGGGCTGACGCCTGCCAGGTCATGGCTATTGCTCTTAGCATGTCATAAATCGTAAGTATACAAATTTCTAACCTTACAGGGAGACCGTTACTCCCAGGGTTCACTAGCTCTTGGACCATCTAGTAATTTTATTTCCACAACTTGGCTTGATATTTCTCTGTTTTCATGTTCATGTTCCAATACTTTATTATGATATGTTTCTTTTGAGTTCTTTAAAAATATTACTTCTCTCTTTGTTCGGAGTTGGGGATCAATTATAAAGAAATTTAAAATGATCATTATTTATTTAAAGAGCAATGGACTAAACTAGTGGGATGAGATGAGATTGGGATAAGAGTCGCGCCCGGTACGACGTCTGAATGCGAACTAACTTATGTGAATATAATAAAATACAATGAAAATGAATACACTAGCAAATCATATTGCCTGGTGTCATTTACATTTTAAACACCTGTACGGTTTCTTAACCGTACACTCTTTATCTGAACTTTAATGTTTTTCTCAAAAAATATTTTATATCATTTTGTTTCTTCTCTTTAGCTCACCATAATTCCATTTTCACCTTTAGAGTCCTATTTTGCTCTCTTTTCTTTTGGGATATGGACCTGGAGTCCCAAAGATCTTCAAATCTTGTGTTGATTCTTTTAAAAATAAAAAATAAAATATGTTTATTATGGAACATAAGATACATGTATCACTTATTCCACGTCATTAAATTTGAATTTGTAGGCATCCCTACTCATCGGCAAAGAAGACAGAGGGTGTAGGCCGAGAGAAAAAGCCGGAGTAAAAAACCTCTCGGTACTCTTTTAAAATAGCAAATCATCATCATCAAACGACACTTATTTTAAAACAAATATCGCAAATTAATGTTTAAAGAACTTTATTTCTCATTACAAAAATTATTTTTTATTTACATGAGAAATTTAATATTATATACGAACGAGATACACGTCGCCATCAGCTAGCCCAATTTTAGTCTAATGGGCTCATTCTGATGTGTATCTTTAATGCCCTTTTGAACTGATTAATCACGCTAATGTTACGAACCTTAGACGGCAACCGATTAAACAATTGCACACCCTCATACCTAACAGATCTCTTTAAATAATTTGTGCGCGGCTTTGGCAAGATAAGCAAACTCGCTCGACGAGTATTGCGTGTAGTGTTATTTGATTTTATTAAATGATAAGTTACTATGTAGAGAGTTATTTAATTTTTTTTTAATAAGGATACAGATGCTATAAACATATAGTTGTTTAATCGTCATAACTTGGGTTTCTTGGCAGATTTTATTAGTAGGTGTTAAAAAATTGTATCTAAATAGTGCTTTTATTAATTTATTTTGTAGCGTTTGTATTTTAGAAATTTTGTTTTTGCATGCTGTACCCCATATTTCAATTAGGTATATGAAATGTGGCTTGACTAAACAATTATAAATCAAATGACGTACAGATCGCGGAATGCATTTTGATATTGACCAAAATCTGCCAATCAGTGATTTTAGTTTGGTGATTATGTGTGATATATGAAAGTTCCACTTTAAATTTGTATCCATTCTAAGACCCAGATATTTCTCCCATTTTTTGTTATTGATTTCAACGTCTTGAACTTTAAGCGGTTTAAAGATAGGAATGAGTTTATTTGTTGTCCTGAATATTACATAAGATGTTTTTGAAATATTAATTGTTAGAAGATTTTGTTGAAACCAAGAAGATAGAGCATTTAGGTCTGATTGAGCTTGAGCAACCATAGTCTGGATATTTGAACCAAAGTAAAATAAGCAGGTGTCATCAGCGTAAAGAGAGATTCGGCCGTGTTAACCGAATGAATGTTGTTAATATATATTAAAAATAACAATGGACCTAATATAGATCCTTGTTACGTGGTAGACGCCACATGTTACTGGTATTTCTGAACTTTGAGCATTACCTTTTTTTACTATCTGGGTTCTGTTTGATAGATAAGATTTGAATAATTTTAGTGCACAATCTTTTATTCCTATGCATTCTAATTTTTTAAGCAATAAGTTGTGGATTACGGTGTGAAACGCTTTTTTCAAATCAATAAAGACACCCAGCGCCATTTTCTTAGAGTAAATATTTTGTTTTATATCACTAATGAGATCGGCTGTGGCTGATAAAGTGCTGCTTTTTGATCTAAAACCATATTGGCGTTTAAAAATAAAATTGTTAGTTTCTAAGTAAGTGTCAATTCGTGAGTAAATAATTTTTTCTAATATTTTTGATATTGTAGGTAGAATAGAGATTGGTCTGTAATTGCCGGGGTCGGTTCTGGGGCCAGATTTATAGATTGGAGTCACTTTCGCTTTCTTAAGAGAATCCGGAAATTCACCTTTATGCAGCAACTTATTAAAGCAGATCGAGAGATATTCCGAAATATAATTGACTACACATTTTACGGTTTTGGTGTTGATCCCATCTATTCCAGTACTACAACTTGTGTTTAGTAACTACAATGTTGGCACGTACTTTTTCAATGAGTGGCCTAACTTTAAAATACCGATCACCGTCATCAAGCAGATTGTCGTTGAAGTGGATGTACCGTCGTATCTGTTGAAATTTTTTGAGTGTCATTACATCAGCTATTTGTGAAAATCTGAATTCCTGACACCAATAGTCAGTGTAGGCCGGCATTTTCACGATTCCCATTATCAAATTTATTGCAATAAAATCTTTGTCTTGTGTTGAAAAATTAAGAGAACGACCAATTGTTTGAGTTGAGTATAAATTGCTTTGCTCTGTGATCATGTTAAGGATGCCATCATCAAAGAAGTATTGAAAATATTCTAGTGGTGTTTTTGGTATCTGAAGGTAACTGTTTATCGTGTATTTCGGCGTTATGTTCAAATTTCTTGTTATTCCAATGGAATTTCAGTTCGAGTTCCATGGAATCCTATAGAAGGGAGATATGGTTCGGAACGCGAAGAGCACCGCATTTGCGGCGGTGTCCGGATACTCTCTGCGGACCTTGAAAATTCAGGCGAGGGATGTACGTGGAGATGTCGCGATGGTTCGTACCAATATCCGCAGCAGGTCTCCAAGGTGAAGAGCCTCTAGTCGATAGAATAATGTAGGTAAGGGAAGTCGGCAAATTGGATCCGTAACTTCGGAATAAGGATTGTCTCTGAGGACCGGGGCGTGTCGGGTTTGGACGGGAAGCGGATGCGGCGGTGCCGGGCCTGGTCGATGCTCGTTGCGTTCGCGCGCTTCGTGCTGAATCCGGACCCGCGTTCCGGCCTTCCGCGGATCTTCCTAGCCGTAAGGCCGCGACGGACGCGCGCTTCGCGGCGTGCGGCTCGGCGCGGTTCTGTACGTCCGCCGTTCAACGGTCAGCTCAGAACTGGCACGGACAAGGGGAATCCGACTGTCTAATTAAAACAAAGCATTGCGATGGCTCTCGCGGGTGTTGACGCAATGTGATTTCTGCCCAGTGCTCTGAATATCAACGTGAAGAAATTCAAGCAAGCGCGGGTAAACGGCGGGAGTAACTATGACTCTCTTAAGTGACGCGCCGGCCTGATGCCGGTTCTGCGCCTTCGGGCTGCGGGGCGTGCGTCGGGGCGTGGCCTTTTGAAGGTCATAGGGACTCCAGGCCCCCACAGATGTCCGATTTGAGCGGAGCCAGTAGACGCTTGGATCAATGGGAGCAAAACACTGTCGGGGCCTGTAACGGGATGAGTGGGTCGGCAACGGCCCGTGACGTCCAACTCCTATCCTCAGCCTGCTCGTAGCACCGCCGCCATTGTCTAATGAGGGGGGAGGGAGTACTCCCGAGATCATATATATACCCATGACTGCTGGAGGGTCGTATAACATAACTCTTACAAATGACTCGAGCCCTAACGCGTTTTCCGCTGGGACCACCACATCAAGCTGCGCTAACCCGCGGCCGGGTGTGGTGGGTTCAGTCAGGCTTGTCTCTGGATTTCCCTAGGATGCGTGGAACGTCTGACACCTTGACGTTAATCCAGGTGTTGACACTGGGCGAAATTCCCAGTGTTACCCCTAATGGAGCTGCAGACCTTCCATCTTTAGGCGAGCACTCAAGTCCGGTAGTTGTCTAAGGATTGGGGTATAACGAAAATTACCGGGCGTACCTGGGGTTGGATTAGCAGTCCGCGTCCGGGGGGTTAAACTCTATCGCTGGCACTAATAATATGAGAAATTATAACGTGAGCCCCGACTTCTCACTGGGGTCGGGGTCGGCGATAAACCCACCGCGGGATGGTCGATCGGGCGAAGCCGCTTCCGGGCTGGCGACGCCTGGTTGCACCTGCCCCGTTTGTGGGAGGGTCTTTCGGACCAACAGGGGATTAGGCGTGCACAAGCGTGCCGCGCATCCCCTTGAGGCGAATGTGGAGGCCGCTCCAAATGCTGTGAAGCGCAGATGGCGGGAGGAGGAGATCGCTCTCATGGCAAGGTCCGAGGCAAGGCTGACTAGAGAGTTGGGTCGGTGTGGGAAAGGGGAAGAACACTGGAAGCAATAAAAGGGCAAAGGAGCAAAAATTAGTATAAAGATATGGTGCAAGCATGTCTTCAGAACGCCCATAATATTGAATATCCAAACCCATCACCAGTAAGCGCAGACCAAATACCAAATGATACGGAACAGCAACCTCAGTCAGTCGAACCCGAGTCCCCAAGTGTTGAGCGGTTGAGCACTCCACCTTCTCGCGTGGATCCGCTTGAAATAACCGAAAACCCCAATGACGAAGCGTGTGCAACGAATGCACTCGAAAGAGTGAGGAAGAGAGAGGCATATCGGGGCCGTTGTAGGAGGGGTGAGTACGAGGAGCGGCAGTACACTGACCATTCTAACGGCTCGCGACCGCCTAATAGGCGAAAGAGGCGAAGAATGGAGTACGCTCGAGTCCAGGAACTCTGGAAGAGAAACCCTAGCCGGGTTGCTGAGGAGGTGATCGACGGCGCATGTAGAGACGTGAAGCACCAGCTGGAGGAAATGGAAGCCTACTGGCGACCACTACTCGAGAGGGTGTCGAGCGCCTCTGGACCTACACCGGAAGCCTTGGATCGCTTACGATCTAGTGGGCAATACGGGGGCAATGTGCCTGACTTCTCTACTCTTTGGCACCCCTTCACAGCATCTGAGGTGAAGCAGGCAAAGGTTAATCTGAAGTCGATTTTCGTGCCGAAAAAAGAGGTCTCTGCGGGACCGAGTGAATATAGGCCGATTTCGATTGCGTCTATACCGCTTCGGCACCTGCACACGCTCTTGGCGCGTAGGTTGCTCGCATCCTGTCCTCCCGATGTGCGGCAGCGCGGATTCATTTGTGCGGACGGCACTCTTGAATACGCCGCCGTATTAGACGCCGTACTCGGGGATTGCAGGAAGAGGTTGAGGGAGTGCCACGTGGCGGTCCTGGACTTTTCCAAGGCGTTCGAAACAGTGTCACATGTGGCACTGATCGATCTGCTGAGGCAAAGGGGGCTGCCCGGGCCCTTCTGCGACTATTTAGCTCGTCTGTACCAATCGGCAACAACACACCTTGCTGTCAGCGGTCGGACGAGCTCTCCTGTCAAGGTAGGACGAGGGGTTCGCCAAGGCGATCCACTTTCGCCTATACTTTTTAACATGGCCATGGACTTGGTGCTAGCAGCACTGCCCAAAGACATCGGCTATAGACTGGAGGGGGAACGTGTTTCCGCTCTGGCTTTCGCCGACAACCTCGTCCTTGTGGCGGGGTCCAAAATGGGTATGCAAGAGGCCATTAGCTGTGTTGAGAAGTCGAGTGGTTTAATGGGCTTACGCCTGAACCATTCAAAGAGCCCTGTTCTCTCGATGGTGCCCGACGGACACCGCAAAAAACACCACTATCTGAGCGAGCGAACGTTCCGTATGGGCGGACGCTTGATCAGACAGGTGACGTGTGTCGAACGTTGGAGGTACCTAGTGGTTGAGTTCGAGGCAACCGGATCGACCACGCTGGAAGGAGGGATCAATGAAGCGCTGAAAAATATCTCGAAAGCTCCGCTCAAACCGCAGCAGCGACTACAGATACTAAGGGCGCACTTGATTCCCAAGTTCCTGCATGGTCTCGTGCTTGGGCAGGTGAGAGACAACAGAGTCCGAATGCTCGATGAACAGATCCGGGAAGCAGTTAGAAGTTGGTTAAGGCTACCAGGAGATGTGCCGAATGCTTACTTCCATGCGGCGGTAAGGGATGGGGGCCTGGCGATCCCTTCTCTGCGGGCGGGCATACCGGATCTCATATCAAGGAGGTTCGGAAGGCTTAATTCGTGTTAAGTTGGCCAGTGGCCGTGGCCGCCTCCAAATCCGAAAGGATTCAGAAAAAATTGCGCTGGAGTAAGAGGCAACTCCTGAAGTACTCAAGAGACGATCCCTTTGGGCCTTCACCGTCGGTGAGAGCCTACTGGCGTCAGTCCCTTCACGCCTCTGTCGACGGATTCGAACTCCGCGAAGCCGGTCGAACCCCAGCATCCACCAAGTGGATGAGGGAGAGGTGCCACGGGATAAGCGGACGCGACTTTGTGCAGTTCGTCCTTACGCACATCAATGCCTTGTCTTCGCGTGTAAGGAATTCGAGAGGACGACGCGTGGGTCGTGAGTCGGAATTGAACTGCCGTGCCTTGTGCATGGTTAGGGAGACAACGGCTCACGTTATCCAGCAGTGTCATCGAACGCATGGTGGGCGCGAAAAGGGTTGGTTGGCGATTGAGGAGCCGAAAATAAAAACCTTAAGAGGACTGCGAAAGCCGGACCTCATAGCCTCTAAAGACGATACAGGTGTCATTGTCGATGCACAGGTAGTATCGGGGCGCAGGTCTTAGGACGACTCTCATCGCGAAAAGTGCGCTAAGTAAGAATCGCATGAGGAAGTCGTTTCGAAGGTTGCGGGACTTCTCGGTCTGCCCAATGTGAACGCAGTGACTGCAACCTCATGTACCGTGTCGTGGCGTGGAATCTGGAGTCCGCGCTCCTATAACGAGCTCAGCTCGTTATTGGGAATAGACAAGAGGTCTATAGCTGAAATCCCTGTGATTGCTTTGAGGGGCTCTCACATGAACTGGGGCCGATTCAACCGGATGACGACAGTCTCGGCTGTCGGGTCGGCTGATCGAGCATCCAGTGACCAGTGAATTTGGGGTCAGTCTGCCACCGCTATCTCTTCAGCCTCACCTCCCTCGGGAGTGGACGTTAGAAAAGTAGTACAAGGGACAGCAACCACTATCTAGCAGACCAATGCACACTTACGAGATTGGTTTGAAAGGGGCGGCCAATCGACTCAATCCATAATGATTAATCCTCCTTGGGAAAAAGATCGATCTCAGGAGAGTCACACAAATAGACGTAAGCATGTGCGGCAAAATAGCCAAATGCCTCGTCAACTAATTAGTGACGCGCATGAATGGATTAACGAGATTCCCGCTGTCCCTATCTACTACTCGTCGTTCGGTACTCGTAGCGAGCGGACGTGTATACGTGCTTGTTATTGTTCCGCGATAATTTGCTTGTGAATTATTATTTTTAATTGCGCTGTCACAGCGCTAATTAGCCTTAATTACATGCGTGATTTACGGCGTATTTATTTAGATTCCAAGTGACAAAGTGTGATGCAAAAAGAATTTGGAAGGATTTTAAAGGACAAGCCGCGTGGCTAACCGCGCGGCGCGGTAAGTGCTAGAAATCTTAATAAGACCTAGGAGTTATTTTTATTGTTTTATCGTTTACTTCTGTTTTATTTTAATCGTGAACTAACAGTTAAATCCGTACTAGAAACATTTCCTTTGTCTCACTTGGTGGCGTGATAGGTGACGTAGACTTTAGTTCACCGAATGGGAGCTCTAATATAGACGCCACTCTAGGAACGAGAGGAGTTCGAATCGACGGATGGACCGTGCACGCCGAACTCAGCACGAGTGACCACCGCCTGATCACGTTCGTGATCCATCTCGGCTCAATTAATTCTTCACGGCAGGATCACGTATAACGCCCCTGCTCAGGGTATTTGTTCGGCGTTTACTTCCGCTGGCGTGATCTCGGCGGGGAAGTGCTTGGGAGTGGTAGAGCCTAAACGGCATGGGGGTTATGAATGGTGGTCGGGTGAACTGGACGGCCTCCGCAGGCAGCACAACAAATTACGTCGGGAGTGGCAACAGTCTCGGCACGCGGGCGGACTGTGCGAAGAGAGCGCGCGAAAACGCTTTCATCTTGCCCGCTCTAGGTACCGGAAAGCATAACCCACCAACTTTCCCATGGTCCTTCCGACCTCGCGGTCATGCGGACCGGGTCTCCACCGAATCAATGGGAGATGCGCCGGTGAGTCTTTTCGCACTCTGTGCATCGTCACCGGCGCACTCTCTTGACTCCCTACAAATTTTACGCAATTTCTGTCCCATGCGCATTCTCCCTCTCTCTCGAGAGGGCTGCGCGAGGCGCATTCTCCCCCCGGGGGGCTGCGGACAACACAAGAGAACGGCTCGTCGTCGGTGTCGATCTTTCCACATCAGCGTCATATCCCGTCGTATCTTGCTCCTGCAGTGCTCGCCTCAATCCTTTCTCTTCGGCATCAATCTCACTTCTTACGCGATGCCAGGCGCGTGCGAATCTACTGAACGCGGCATAGTTCGCCTCCGAGGCCACGAGATCCGCGCAGTAAACCGGTCCCGGCTCGCTCATCATCACGCGGTCCAGCATCTCCCTCCTCTCCCGATCGTACAGCCCGCACTCCCACAGGACGTGATCCCTGTACTCTTCCGCAAGCCCGCACGGACACGTCCCGACCTCTTTGAGACCAAGGTCTCTCAGGCGGCCGTTGAACGCGCCGTGTCCCACCATAAGCTGCGATGTAAAGTAGTCGGGCGCTACCCACACCGCAAGAAGTCTACCCCTGACGCAAGGGAAGAAGCGCTGCAGGTCGCGCCCCCTCTCCTCGACCTCCCAGCGCTCCTGCCACCTGTCAACCACCTCGGAGTGGACCCTACGCTTCAAGTCCGCGAACTCTCCCTTTGCCGTTTCCCCTTTCGACGCCTGAATCTTGCCCGCACGGTACACTTCTAGATCTGCCGGCAGCACGCCGCCTAGGACGGCCAGCGCCGGGGTGCTTGTCGTCCGATAAGCCTTGGTCAGAAGCACCAACGCGGACCTTTGTGTTCGCAACAGCCGACTCGCCACCACGAACGCGAGAGATCTGCCATACCACACAGCCGCCGCGTACGTAATGGTCGCGACAAATGTCCCGTAGTATAGCAACCGGAGCGCAGGGTATCTGACACCCCAGAAGGAGGCAGACACCCTGGCCATCTTCCCGAAGCACTTTGCACCTCTCTCTCCGATGTCTTGGGCGTGGTCCGCAAACGTGCCACGCTCGTCCAGCACCACGCCGAGTAGCTTCGCCGCGCCACCGGCCCCCACCGAGTCGCCCCCCAGCCGGATCACCGGCGGACGCTGGAACCTGCCCTTCAGTGTTATAGACTGCGTTTTCGCGGACGAAAACGACAGCCTATTCCGCTGGCCCCATTCGAGTGCCAGTTGAAGAGTGGTCGCCGCCTTCCGCTTGATGTCCGCCCGGGAGTTCGCCTCGACCAAGACCGTGACGTCATCCGCGTACGCTACCAGACTAACACCCGGGGGCACCGCTATCCGCAACAAATCGTCCACCAGAATGTTCCACAGTGTCGGCCCCAATACGGAGCCCTGTGGGCAACCCATAGTGGAACCTTTCCAAACGGATACGTCATTCGCGAACATCCCCACTTTTCTGTTAGTGAAGTACGAGCAGAGCAGTCTGTATAAGTTGCGCGGACAACCACCCTGCTTAAACTTGAGCAGCACCATCGGCCACCATGCGTTGTCGAACGCGCCCGAGATATCCAATAGGATGGCCTGGACGTACTTATGGTTCGTCTCTCGCACGACCTCCAGTACTCTGCTCAGAGCAGTCACCGTCGACTTTCCGTGCATGAATCCGTGCTGATTGGGCGATATACGGCCGCTTAGGCCCGGTGTACACTCGCAGATCAGCCTCTCCAGGATCTTCCCCAGTACCGACAGAAGCGTAACGGGCCTGTACGCTTTCGGGTCCGTGAGTGGTCTCCCATTGCCCTTCGGTATCACGACTAGCCTTCCGATCTTCCAAACGTCTGGAAACACGCCTTCCCGGACACACGTGCTATACATATACGTCATCTCCGACGCGGCCACATTCCAAACGACCTTGGCGATACGCGCCGTGATGCCGTCTAGCCCCGGGCATTTATTTGGTAGGCTCTTCACGATCCTTTCGAGTGCTGACCTGTCCACTATGTCAACGTCTTTCCCCGACGGCGCGAAAGTGGCGGCAAGGCGTACACTCGAGTGGTACGGCGAATCGACCGTCACATCATCGTCCGGGTACATGGCCGCCAGGACTCCGGACATCGCCTCCTCTATGTTTGTAGCGAATCCCTGCGATAGCTTCATCCCGTTCACCACTCCCGAGGGTGGACGCACACGCCCGCTTGCGAGCCGGTACGCCATTCCCCAGGGATCTTCATTTCCGGAGTCGGAAATTCTCTTGAAATGCTCGGTTTCAGCATTCCGCATCGCTTTCCGGTACCTAGAGCGGGCAAGATGAAAGCGTTTTCACGCGCTCTCTTCGCACAGTCCGCCCGCGCGCCGGGACTGTTGCCACTCCCGACGTAATTTGTTATGCTGCTTGCGGAGGCCGTCCAGTTCACCCGACCACCATTCGTAACCCCCCAACCGTTTAGGCGCAACCACTCCCAAACACTTCCCCGCCGAAGTCACGATAGCGGAGGTAAACGCCGAACAAATAGCCTGAGCAGGGGCGTTATACGTGATCCTGCCCACGCGCAGCGCAAGTTCCGAGTGAAAACGGTCCCAATCCACCCCACGGTCCCGAAACCTTATCGGCTCCGTGCCCTGTTCTGTGCTACGCGCCCGATGCAGTTGGCCCGAAGAATTACTTGAGCCGAGATGGATCACGAACGTGATCAGGCGGTGGTCACTCGTGCTGAGATCGGCGTGCACGGTCCATCCGTCGATTCGAACTCCTCTCGTTCCTAGGGTGGCGTCTATATTAGAGCTCCCATTCGGTGAACTAAAGGTGTCCGGTTGACCTTGGACGTTATGGACCAGGAGACCCCACGACAGCACGAAGCTCTCCATAGCCGTCCTACGCTGCTCTGCCAATCTGCCTCTTCCTCTACACTGGTCCTCGCGACTGTACCACAGCTGTGAGTGGGTGTTTGTGTCGACGCCAATCACTACGGGTTTCCCTCGAAGAGCCTCCATCACACGCTTCAAGTGCTCCAAGTGTGGGGCTATCTCGTCGCTGTACTGGAAGTACGCCGACACCACGTACACGGCGTTCTCCCTTCCTCCAAGCTGTGCCACAAAGCAATGAGACGTGCACAAGTTGTGGAGTACGAGCACTGCCAGATCGTTCCTCAGCACGACGATTCCGGCCATTGGTGCCACATCGTGCTGGTATAGCCCCGGCAGCAGAGCCGCCGGGTATTGTTCCTGCACCAGACAGACGCTGAGGCTCAGATGCCTTGCGAGAGCCGGCAGCTCCTTGGTAGCCGTCACCGACCCTTGCAGCTTTATTTGTCCGACCGAGATGTCCATCTTGTCTCCTCGTGAACTTCTTATGGACCTACAATCCATAATTGGTTCTTTCTAAGGACCGCTTTTCCGCCGCTTGTCTCGCCGGGCATTGGGCCGAAGCGGTTCTTCCGAGGGTTTCCCGGCTTTCTTGCACGTAGCGCACCTACGGAACGTGTTTGTGCACGCCTTGTGTGTGTGGCCCTCCTCACCACAGTTCCCACAGGTGTCTTTTGTTGCCCTGCAGAAGCGTGCCGCATGCCCGTAGCCCTGGCATTTGCCGCAGCAGGTAGCGTCCGCATAGTCCCGCACGATATGACGCTCCCACTCTTTCGAGACCAGCTTGTCTCGCCAAGCTGGACTGCACCGCAGCACCACCGTGGTGCACGCGCCTCCTCGGGCGCTCTTCTTAAAGGCCACGTCGACCTCTTCCTTGCCCCATTCGGCTTGGCCCTCAAAGTTCTGGGTGCGCAACGCTTTTAGGAAGGCGCCCGAGTCAACTCTGGCGCCGTCGACCGCCACGACCGCAACG